TGGATTTAAAAAGCTCCACAGCAATTTATTTTTATTTTTACTTATTTATTTATTTTTAAATATGTCTTTATTAATTTCAGAGAGAGGAAGGGAGAGGGAGAGAGATAGAAACATCAATGATGAGAGAATCATTGATCGGCTGCCTCCTGCACGCCCCCCACTGGGGATCGAGCCTGAAACCCAGGCATGTGCCCTGACCAGGAATCAAACCACGATCTCCTGGATCTTAGACCGATGCTCAACTGCTGAGCCACGCCCGGCCGGACCCACAGCAATTTATTTTAACAAACACTGACTGAATACAAAGGACTGAGAAGATTAAAGTGTGGATGCCGAAACCAGACAGTCTGGGTTCAAATTCAGCTCTCCCATTTACTAGCATGGGACCTTGGGATAGTCACTGATTTCTTTCTGTGACTCAGTTTCTCATTTGTAAAATGGAGATAATAATGTGAATGAAAAAGGGGCTCTATAATAAATTTGACAACACTAATGATTGAAAGTAACCTCAAAGGTGATCTGATCATAAGTTCCTAACCGGACAGGTCAGGGATGGGTAGTTATGCCCCAGGCCTATAAAAGGGTTTTTTTTTGCCTTAAGCCAGCCCTGTCCAATGTTCTTCTGCATCTAGGTTAACACACCTTTGAAATGCCAGAAGTAACCTTCTTTCCCAGACCCCTCAGAGGTATAACCACCCTCAAGAGAACACATAATCTTCTCAACGCCCTTGTAATCTAATCATGCAGATTTCCATGCCTTGCTTTCTCCCACCTTCATATAATCTTCTTTACATACCCCCTTTAATTCCAAATGTATAAAAAGAACTGTAAAACTGTCCTTCAGAGCATCTGAGATCTTGCTCCTCCCCAGCATATTGTCAAATGGCTCAAATAAACTTATAAAAATTCTCTACAGGTTTGCATGTTTCTTACACCAACACTTGCTTGGTGTAAGTTGGCAGGATTCTGAAGAAGTCCACCTAGGACCAACCTGTAAACCCAGATCCAGTGCTAGGTACCAGTATGGGCCCATTATGCCCCACTAGCTCCCCACTTTGCAACCGGTGAACATGGGTGAGTTTTCTCTTGGAATCCTGGACCTACCTGCATTAGATAGTGGGTTCTAACTTTATTTGAGCTGTCCTTAGAACATCCACTAAGTGGGTAAGGGTTGCAGAAACTCAGGGAAAGAAGATAAATGAGTGGCTACTTTTAATTTTTGCTTTTTTATTGGATTGCTTACTGAGAGTCTGAACAAAATATTTGCTGGTTAATGAGTGACTAAATTCTGTTTAGCTCTGAAAGAGAAAGGACACTTGCTTCCCCAACCCAAATCTCAGGTATTCTTGGGTGACTAAGAATCTCTGTAGGATTGCCTGAGAAAAAATTTCCTCTAGGGTGTGCAGCATTCCTATAGGGAAATCCACTGCATTCAACTCATCTGGAGACGTGCATGCAAAGGCTGCTTTTTCCTAGAAGTTTGTTCAGACTGCACAGATCTCAAAGGAAAATTAAAATTAACGTGGGAAATCATGCCTCCAAGGCCAGCAAACCCATGACAGTCAGTAATACTCCTGCAGGAAGATGGCCCAGATGAGGATCCTTTGATAATTCTAAATCAATCTTCTGCACACACAATTAGAAAAAAGCCAGCTATGAAATTAGGTGGAATGAATAAAAAGCATATATTTAATTGGTTTCTCAAAGCTTCAAAAAAAGGATTTAGATAAATGTATCAATCTATGGTGTTGTTTAGGTAGCAACCCAATTCTCTGAAGTATTAAAAACAGCAGTCCTTATTTTAAGAGGAAAAGTTTATTTGGAACTTACTTGTCAAGGACAGATGTAATTGTGTCTTCTTATCCCAACTGCCAAAACAAAATTTTGACCTAACTTGTTCTTTTATAAACTAATGTGTTTCTCTCATGGCTAAAATTCTCTGTTTGCATCTGTCTGTCTGTGTGTCTACATAGGTATGTTGTAAATGTGAGATGGTAATGTTAAAGTTAATTTAATATATTAAAATTAATTGATTTGAAGGCAAGTGCTTGTAAGGATTGGGTATTCTAAACTTCTCAGAAAGGTAGAAACTAACAAAAATGCTTTTCAAGTTCATATGATCTAAGATTAATCCTTAGTAAATAAAAGCTAGTTTAACTTTCTTGGTTTAAGTAGAACAGACATGTCTTTCAAGTTATTGATATTAAATAAGTATAATGTTTATATTTTATCTGGGTTCACAAAAATAAGTCCATGTTAAGAACTGATTTTTATATTTATGAAGTATGTTTCTGGAGGTTATAAAATAACTTCATAAATCTGCTATGCTAAAGAATGCTATTGCTTACTTCTTAGTTTTAATTAGAAATTGATATTTTAAGGGTTAAAAATCTCAATATATGCCCAGCTGGGTGTGGCACAGTGGTTGAGCATTGACCTAGGACCCAGGAGATCACAGTTCGATTCCCGGTCAGGGCACATGCCCAGGTTGCAGGCTCAATCCCCAGTTGAGAGTGTGCAGGAGGCAGCCGATCAATGACTCGCTCATCATTGATGTTTCAACTCTCTCCTTCCCTCTCCCTTCCTCTCTCTGAAATCAATACAGATATTTTTTAAAAACAAATAAATAAAAATCATGTAAAGTGTTGTTTGCAGAATGCTACATAATTTAAAAATATATATCTCAATACATGTAGGAAACTTTGTGTTGTTCCAGAATGGCCTCTGGAAAACCTCAAAGAATTGTTTTTATGTTAAACTACATGGGAAGCATTATAAAAAAAGTGATTTAAAAAAAACAACAACAGACTTCTAGGGTGTATTGTATGGGTCAACAATGGTTGTAAATTAAACAAATAGTTGGGATTATGGGAAACCCAAGACAGCTGTTTGGTTCTTTAAAGCTCCCTGGCAAACCCCATTGTTCCATTTTTGCATTCCTTCAAGCATCATAGTGCATTTAAGTTGAACTTACATTAGATGAAGGAACTTAGGAGCTGATATTATTGAAAGGAGACATCTTACACTATTGCCACGTTTTGGTAAAGTCACTTCAAGAAAATGCCAAATAGCCCAGCCGGGCATGACTCAGCAGCTGAGCATCAACCTAGGATCCAGGTGATCAGGGTTCAATTCCCGGTCAGGGCACATGCCCGGGTTGTGGGCTGCAGCCGATCAATGACTCTCTCATCATTGATGTTTCTATCTCTCTCTCTCCCTCTCCCTTCCTCTCTCTGAAATCAATAAAGATATATTAAAAAAAGAAAGAAAGAAAATGCCAAATAGGTAACCACTTCCTTTCACAGTGAGCTCCTAGGAACAAAGACTTCAAAGATCATTGACTGCCATCTGGAGATTTTGTTTATTGGAAAGAACATTAAATAAAACATACTCTCCAATCTTGTTGGAAGGGACCTTATCAAGCACCTAACTGTGAATGGACATCTACCCCTGTCTCTGATACTTGCCCCCAATGGGCTCCAAAGACTCCTCAAGGTCAAGAAACTGCCGATATCAGAGCTAGATAGCCATCCCAAGACATTGACAAGGCCTTTATACCACAGATTGATGTTGAACTCAGAAACCATTTGTTTGATTGTCTTTACCTGTCTACTAATGATATTAGGCATAATAATAGTTATATGTGTTCTTTGGGTTTTTCTATATAGTCCAGCTGTTAATGATTACTGAAGATGTATAAGATATCTTTTATTACTCTTTTTAAACTAGATGCAAAGGACAGAAAAAGAAAATAGATGGAAAAACTTGCATCATGATGGTTCACAGGACGGAAATACTCCAGACTGTTTTTTTTCACAATGAAGGCCATAAGACCTGACTGCCTTCCATTTACCTACCCTTCCCTTTTGGGAAGATTAGATCTCAACTCACATCCCATGGTTACTGTATTGCCTCATCCTCAATGATGCACCATTTCAACAAGACTACATTGATACTGAGACTTCCTAAGAATGAGCCTTTCTAGCACTGTGAGACCACACTATATCACCAAAATGTTGGTCATCAATGCATCTTTCACACTGATTTATGACCAAAAGGGGTAACTATGAACAAAAAAAGGTCTCTATAATAAATATGGGACGCCCAGTAACTGAAAGCAACTTCACTGGGTAATCTAATCATAAATTCCTAACTGAACAGAGCATGGTGAGTAGTCACACCTATAAAAGGATTGCCTTTGCATTAAGCAAGCCCTGTCCCATATTCTTGTGCATCTAGGTTAACACACCTTTGAAGTGCCGGAAGTATTCCTCTTTTCCAGACCCCCCCAGAGGTGTAACCACCCTCAAGAGAGCACATCATCTTGTCAACCCACCCGTAATTCAATCATGCAGATTTCCTGGCTTTGCTTTCTCTCACCTTCATTCTGTTCCCTCCTTAATTCCAAATGTATACAAAGAACTGCAAAGCTCTTCTCCAGAGCATCTGAGATCTTCCAAGCCTGTTATCAGTTTGGCTCAAATAAACTCATAAAAATTCTCTATAGGTTTGGATATTTCTGACATTGACAATAATAGGGCCTAGATTAAAGGGTTGTTCCATGGATCAAATGATATTACACATTTAGAACATTTTAGGTGCTATGTAAATGTTAGCTATCATATCATGTTTTAGCCTGGGAGAGGAGTGGGTGCCTGGTGCACTCACATCTGCTGGCATCTTGACCACTTAGGGAGAGATACTTTCATCCAACCAATTAAATAACTGAAGATTGTAAAAACTAAGGATATATAACATAAATATCTATGGACAATTTTATTTTTAAAATGTGATCAGATGGGAATTTAATCTGTCCTCCAGATCACAGCAATTTAGTTGGAGCACAATAAAAATGCAACATTTAAGCAAGTAAGTGGTAGCTGGTAACTAGCCAATTACATGCTTAGGGGCAAATGGGCAGGAGATATAATCCCAGGGGACAGGGATGGCCATGGCAGAGCTGTGTTTAATATAATTTATTTCCAAGATGCCAGCCTGACCTTTTCACAAACTCTTCGAAGAGGATGCGGTGGGAATACCCCTGCTGGCGGATGCGCACTGTCTCCAGGATCCCTGTGGAGCGGAGCTGGGCCAGCACTTTCTCTTGAGAGAACTTCAGGGCCTCCCGGTCATCGTTGGGTTTAATGCAGCGCACAAAGTGGGGCTGTCCAACCACCATTCTGGAGAGCAGATCCATCAGAGAGTACTGATGGGGAAAACACACATACAGGGAGGTTACCGCAGACGTAATGGAGAACTACAACACAGCCCTACAGGAGCCTCTAGAGCAGTTCATTGGCTTGTAGACAACTCATGGGCTTTTTTTTGAGAATGAACAAGAAACCAGCAATAGGAGATGATGATATAAGTTCTGACGAGTACTAATAGCTGCTTGTGGATTCAAATGCATCCTTTAAACATCACCTAGTGCCAAGCAATGCCCCCATGTGGCAGAAACTTGGCTGCCTAAGAACATACTTCAGTTACACCATAACTCCACAGCCAGGACTAGCTTCTCTCTGATATTCCAAGGCAGTACTCCAGAAACTATACCTATAATTTAAAATGTCCAGCTTTTAGGGAAGGGGTTAGTGCTTCTTCAACCTAAGAACCATCAGAAAGTCTAAGCAAATCCTACTGATATCATTGGTAAAGGAAAACAGAAAAAGAGGGCAAAGGAAACAAGAAAATTGGAGGAAAGAAGATTATAATGAAGATCAGCTAACATATACCAAGGGGCTGGCGCAGAGAGAAAGCACATGGAAAAGCAGAGGGGTGCTGTGTGAGGGAGTCTCAGTCGTTCCTTAGGGGCATCCACTTTTGGAGCTCCTCTTTTGGACGTGCCTTCAGTAGCAATTACAAGCCCACCAGGAAATCAGTCCCATTATTTCATAATCACACCTCCTACTGACCCAAAATGGTGTTACCTAGCTTTCCAATACACCTTATTCCCTGAATTTAGCATTTGGAAACCAGTATTTTGAGAATACCAAATTGACTGTCATGGGTATATTTCTGAAAAACTATAAGCTAGAGATTTCTCTACTAATAGAAGGTTTTTAGGCTCTTGGGCATGACTTCACAGAGTTGCTCAGAGTCTCCAAGTCCCATCACACACACACACACACACACACACACACACACCAAGAAAAGAAATAAGTGGTGATTAGAAATGTACAAACATGAGTGATGAAACAGGGGCTGAATGCCCTCCTGCTAGAGGAGCTGTAGCAGGATCACTACATAGATAAAGTGTTGGACTGAAGGGCCTCTGGGCCCCTGTAATTCATACCCTGAGCCCAATTCTAGGCCCAATTCTGAAGTACAATTGGAGAGGTTAGACTTTGCTTTAGATCCTTCTTGAACCCGATAGCTTTCTATAAAGCCTGCTATCCATGGTGCTGGCTCCCAGGTCCTGTCCTTGAGCCTGCCTGGCAAGTCCAGCTCCTGACTCAGCTTCCCACCTGACTCCCCATCCCCACCCTATGACCGTATCCATTTGCCCCTGAGATTAGTAGTTCTGCCTTTGGCCTACCGCATCCCCACCATGAAACTGGCTGGACATGAGCTCCGAGTGGTACACGATCTCTAAAGTTTTCCAACCCAAACTACAATTTAAAGAAAAACCAATCTGTGCAAATTGGTACACGAGTGTTGTGTTTTATCTTTCCTATATAACGAGCACTTAACAGAGCCCTTCTGGAGATAATGTCTTCACTCAAAAGAGTCATTTTACTAGATGAAATACCAAGAATTTTTAGCAGACCTGGAAAAGAATCGAGCTCACACAAATGGGCCTTGCAATGGGACAATTCAATTTAGGAAAATAGAGTCAAAGCTAATACAGTCTCTCAGGATCTAAACTTGATAAGCTACCTCCTGAAATGTTATTAACTACTTTGCTTTTCAGTAACTATCCTGGGAAAGCGGCTGACTGCAGTAGCTTTAAGGCCAAGCAGCAGCTCCCATGCTGACAGAATCAGAACATCCAATGCACAGGGCTGTGTGCCAGCAGCCAAGAGGGCTCTCTGCAGACACATGGGGTTTCTTCCAATCTTCCTGAGATCAGGGAACACTGCACTCAGAGGCAGAGGTCTCTGGCTATAATTTTCTCTTGTCACATCTCCACCTTTTTTAACTGTCTTATTTCTCTAACTGTCTTATGACTCTCAGATCTGGGTCCCTCTTGGGAAGAGCTGGCAAGTCCTGTCTGTAAGCAGGCAGAGTAGAGATGAAGAAGACCCGTACCCGGTAGTAAGAAGCCACAGTCTGTCTCTTCATGTTGGTGGTTTCTTCTGGATGCCGTATTACCTCCAGAGTGTCCACCTAGAACACAGCAGACGTGGTTTGAGGATGTAGACAATTCATTTTCTGGCTTTTTCAAAACCTGAAAGGCTGTTTGGTCAAATATCTAATGTTTAGAACACAATAGTATGCACTATGGGGAGAATTTTTAGTGACACATAAAATAAAAATAGAATTTGCACTGTTCTCACTTTACCGCACTCTGCAAAGTACTATCTGATTGAAGTATAAACCCCCATCAGTGTTATTTCTATACTTCTCCATGTTCTAATGGGCCCCTGTTAAGTTCTCCAATAATGCCACGTGAGAACAAACTATTTTATAAAAGAAAACTGGGCAAAGGCCTGTGAAGCTGGGTGGTTATAAAGACTTGGGCCCAAAGCCCAGACTGAACTGCAGAAAATGTGAGTTCCAGTGGCCTTCCTGCCGTCAGACCTAGACTCTGCCATGCCCTCCTGTCTCCCGCAGTTCCCACGTGCTCACTGTGGCCCGAGCTCGGGGTACATCTGTTCCCGATCATTTGTCCCATCTACCTGGGCTGACTGGAAGAAATGTATGGCTAAAAGCAATTGTAGGAACCAACTGCAAGCAGCCTGCGTTTCGGCGTCGTGCCTCAGCGGTAAACGCCCTGCGTGCACACACCAAGCTTTTCGGTGTGCAGAGCGCCGAGTGGCTGTGAGCACCGGCGCCACCGCGGCAGCTTCCCGTCTGCTCTGGACGGTGGCAGGAGAAGCAGGGACGTTTGAAAGGAAGTGGCTGCTGTCAGCACGTGTGTTCGCTCGGTGGACTGCTGGCCACGGAGCCACCTCCCCGTGGGATGAGGACATCTGCAGCTTTGCAGCCTCGTTCAACAGAAGTGAAAAGTGGGTGCTGAAGGAAGGGGGGCACAAGGAGCAGGGACAATAACAAGCTTGCCCCCGGGGGCATTTAGGAGACAGTGTGCAAAAAGGAACTGCTTCAGTTGGCGTGGATAAAGAAAAACAGATTTATCCAAGAAGGGGAATAAATGTGGAGCTAAGTTTTAAAAAAACTAGAAAAACCACCTAAGTAGCTAGTGGGCAGAAACCCGGGACTGCCTCTAAGCGGAGCGGTGCTGGGGGCAGTGCAGCTTGCTTTTCCCAGGCTGCAGGCTGGACATGCTCCCAAAGCCGCCAGTTTACTTGTACGCAGCTGACACAATGGTACAAATGCCTGTAGGTTTGACTTTTTAAAAATTTTTAATGAGAAAGGGGGAAACAAAAGCTCTATGTTGAGAAGGAAGGCTGCACTGATGCAAAAAAGAGAAAACAAGCACAACATACCCACCCCATCTGCAGAGATTCCGCACTCTCTCCAGTGTCTTCCCCCATCTCGCCTCCATTTGGATGATGGAGCTCAGAGCTGGTGAGGTTTGGGGCAAGCTAATCGGGACCAAAGGGAAGGAGGTCGTGGCTAAGGTATGCCTGCGGTCAAATTGTTAATTTGAGAGTTTTCTTAAACTTTTTTGTCTCCTTATTTTCTTTCCTCACTACCTGACCTTCATTCACACACACACTAAACTTTTAGGAATTTCCCCACCACTTCACCACTTGCTTTTCTTCAGAGATTCTCCCTGAAGAACCACATCTTGCTTTGAAGCTTTGCTTTTCCTCCATCATTTCCCTCTCTTCTTATTCAAATGAACCAGCCAGTGCCAGCCCCTCAGACTGTGGTGCACTGTGAAAGGGCAGCTGAAAAGCTCATCCACATTTCACATTTCTTTCATTAGTACAATTTGCCTGTTACCATTCCTCAAAATGTATAGTGGGCCATGGCATTTGGGAATTTAACGGCTTAGTGATCATAAAATTCTTGATATATATTAATTCTGCTGAGACATAATTTAAAAGGTATAGTATAGGGTATTCCAAAAAATGTGTACACACTGTAACAGCTGGTAGCTCAATTTTGAACATGAAATATATTTTAATAAGCACTGCCTTTATAATTATTCAAAGTGTGGGTATACATTTTGGGGGGACACCCTATATGTATTATTTTCAAGATCAGTACCCATTCCCCCAAACAAATTGGAAAAATATAGGATGAAGCACCAATTGGCACTTCCAAAGTTATAAGGCTGCTGGGCTCCCCTGTCTAACCACCCAGCATGGCTTTACTTTCTGTCCTTGTGCTCACATGCAGAGTAACTCTTGAGAAGGAAAAAGCTATTCTGTGTTATATATAACCTGGAAATGCTAATACTTGTCTAAAGTTCATCACCTACAGCTAATACTGTATTTTAAAGAATAAGTAATATACTATTAGTGTATTTTCTAATTTAAGAACTTGGAAAGTTTTGGGTTGGTCAAGGGTCTCTTTCATATCTGCATAGTCATAAGGTTTTCCTGAACATGGGGTGAATCTAATATAGGAGGGGGGCATGAGAACTACATAAATTAACTAAAGTCAAAGTTAAGTCAGGGGCCTACTATGTGCTGTCTGACATGGAACTCAGGTGACCGGACAGAGAAAATTCCTGCGAAGATTAATTAATAGCTACTCACCCATACCTTATGGTTTACTCATACCATAAAAGGAAAACACAAGGCCACAAAATATGCCTTGTAAAGGCTAATGTTAATCCCAACCTTTTCTACTCTCTATTTCCCCATACCAGCAACTTTCCATAGAAAGTACAAACAGATATAAGCTCAACCTCTAGAGAAGGCTGGGGTCTCTCTTCCTTCTCCCATGAGGAGAGTCTACCACTCTGTCTATGATGTGGATTTTCTTGCTTGTCCTCTCTGCTCAATAAAACTTGCTTTTCCACATTAACCTCTTGCCTGGCTTGCATCTTGAATTCTTTCCTGACCAAAGCCAAGAACCCTCTTGGCTCAGTGCTCAAGTCCCCACTAGGGACTTGCGCCTCTGGCATCAAATCTAAATGAAGGAATTTTGGACAAGGCACATACCAGAGTTACCTGTCTTGGCACTTGAAACTAAGAGTCCTCTGTCTGCACTGGGCCTCATGAACTTTACAGACTTCCAATGAACTCCAAAATATCAAAATCAAGAGAGATGAGAAGGCTGCTGTCTAACCTCAGAGCTTGTCTTCCTGAGCTAATTTAGTTAATGGTAGCCTCATTTAATTAAAAAAAAAGTCTCGCCTGGCCGGGGGTGGCTCAGAGGTTGAGCATCTACCAAGGATCAAGGAGATTGGGGTTTGATTCCAGGTCAGGGCACATGCCCCAGTTGTGGGCTTGATCCCCAGCAGGGGGCATGCAAGAGGCAGTTGATCAATGACAACTCTCTCATCATTGATGTTTCTGTCTCTCTCTCCTTCTCCCTTCTTCTCTCTGAAAGCAATAAAGATATATTTTTAAAAATTAAAAAATAAAAATAAAAAGTCTCTTGGAAACAATCCAGAAAGGAGATTCTATTAGGGGCATCAGCTAGCAAATAGTTCTTCCCAAAGCTAATGATTTCACAAGAAGAAAACAGTCTGCTCCAAAGTATGTTATATTTTTTTACCTCATAGGAGGAAAAGAGACTAGAAAAGCTTTCCTAGGCTCTGGGGGTATGTGCTATGAAGAACAGAGTTTTGGAATCAGACATATCTGGTTCAAATTCTGGCTCCTCTACTCACTAGCTATGTGGCTTTGGACTTGCTATTTAACTTCTCAAAGCCTCTGTTTTCTTCATTAGTAAAAAACTACTGCCTTGCACACACAAGAAGTCAGTCAGTTCCTCTTCCATCATTAGTGTACTTCATTAGTTTTAGTTTAGTGATCAATATCAAGGATGCAGGATTTTGTTTCACAGCAGAAGGTATACAAGCTCCCATGGAACATAGCAAAGAGATCTTTCTATTTATTGGCAGAGAAACTACTTCCAATGAAACCAATTTCAAAATAATCAGTAGAACCCATATCTAAATAAGCCATTGTCTGTCTAACCCAGCATACCTTTCTCCAACAATACCAATCTATACAACAATATAAGTCAACTGGAGCTGAACAAGGTTGCTTTTTGCCCATCTGACTAATGTCCTGCTGAGCTTGTGAGAGGTGTTAGTTAGCTTTCAAAGTAGTCATGAGTAAGCTTTATAAATTGTGGTACAGACTCCAAGCCCATAGGAAATGAGCATGCTTTCAAATGGTTATCCAAACATTCAGTAATAAAACATTCATCATTTCCAATGTGAAATCAGTATACTGAACATTTGCCTATGTTGTCATTAATTCTCAAAATGACCCTATGAGGTAAGTACATTTATTACTCCAATTCTACATATGAGGAGGTCAAGGCTCAGAGATTTTAGGTAAGTTTCCCAGTCTTGCAGCAAATTATTGGCCATGCCTACATCTGCACCACTTCTAATTCCAAAACCTACTTCTTAAACATTATATACTGCCTTTCTATATGGTTGATATAACTTACAAAAACAGTCTGAAAGCATGGAATTATTTAAAAGATTTGCCTCATCTGCCAACTAAATTTACTCTAAAATAAAGACATAGACTCCAAAAGGTCTCAAAAACCATCTAGATTTCAGCAATAAATGAAACACTGAAAAAATTTTTTCTCTGGTCTTGGTTAGTGCCTGCTATTTAAATCCTGAAACTTCAGAAATGCTAATATTTGTCTTCCTGACGAGGCCATTTGTCAGGAAATTTTACTGCTATCAAGTGACCCATCCATCTCTTAAGGAAAAAGTCCCTACAGTATCACTCCTCTCAAAAGCCTCCGTAACACTACATGTCATTGACACCTAACCCCCGGGTGAGGTGTCAAATGTGTTGGAGGCCAGTTCCTGCAAAGCACCTCTGTTCTTTATTCTTGGAAAAGGCAGAAGGGAACTGATGGAGTTTTTTTGTTTTGTTTTGTTTTTAACTGCTATTGTCACCTTTCATATTTTCCAATATCTTAATTAAAACTTTCAACTCATCTCCTTTCCAAGTAAAAATCTCTAGTAATTTTCATCTCGACTGCATACATACGTATCATAATGATGTAAATATATGCCACACACTGGAGGGCACACTTCTCACACAGGCAGGGCCAGAATGATAGTAGGCAGTAAAGGAAGGGAGACAACACTATGCTGGCATTCTGAGTATGGAAGGAAGGAGGCGGGTGCTGACCGAGTCCAGGACTCAAAACATCAAGTTAATGAAAGGAGGGGAACACGGGCTGACAGAATGTTACACAGGGGTCTTTCATCTTTTTGTGTCACGCTCCCTTTTAGAATCTGGTAGAAGCCAATGATTCCAAAAACCACATTTATAGTTGATCCTCATTATTTGTAGATTCTATACTCGTGAATTTGCCTACTTGCTAAAGTGTATTTGGAACTTCCACATCAGTATTCACAGTGCTTTCAGTCGCTCACAGACACGCAGACTGGTGAAACCTTAGACACCTGAGGTGCATGTTTCCAGCTGAGGTTGAACAATAAGTGGAAATAAGTATCTTTTTCAAGGGCTATTTAAGTGCCCTTTTTAAAATTTTTTAATTTTTTATTTGTGCTTTTTGGCCGGTGATTTGACTGTTTAAAATAGAGTCATAGTGCTGAAGTGCTGTCTAGTGTTCCTAAGTGCAAGGAGGCTGCGATGTGCCTCTTGGAGAACATATGTGTGTTAGATAAGAACGAGTTATAGTGCTGTTGGCCTTTAGTTCAATGACCCAAACATTGTAATTGAAATACTGTTTCACGTAAATAAATTATGCCCAGGTAGTAGGACAGATAAAAGAAACTAGTGCTGCCAACCTAGAATTATTCCCAGGCAGGAGCACCTTTAGGTCTATATTATTGTGATTATAAACATATTTCGTACCTTGGCTCTCCCAGTACTGAAATGTGGAGGCAGAGATTTTGAGGCTGCTGTTATCCTGGCTCTGGTCTGGGCCAAGTTACCTGGGAAAAAAAGACAAAGAAGTTCAAATGGAGGAAAGTTAAGAAATAGGATCATGAGTAATTTTCTCTTTGTGCTCTTATATTTTTTCTGAATTTTTCAAAAGATCAGCACTGAATTTGAAAAATTTGGAAAAAATTTGAATTTTGAAACTTCAATGACATAAATTATAAATGAATTATAATTATTTATAAGTAATAAATAATTTGTAAATAATTTATCATACAAATTAAATTTCTATTAATTTCATAAGCAAAAAAGAAACAACAGAAAGTCTTTAATTTATTCAACAAACTAGGAATAGAAAGACCATATTTGAAAAGCCTACAGCTAATATACTCAACAGCAAAAAATTGGAAGCTTCTTGTCTAAGATCAGGAACAAGACAAGATGCCCATTCTCACCACTTCTATTCAGCATGGTACTGGCAGTCTTAGCTAAAGCAATTAAGCAAGAAAAAGAAATAAAAGGCATCCAGATCATAAAGAAAGAAGTAAAATTATCTCTGTTTATAGGTGACAAATCTTATATGTAGAAAATCTCAAAGATCTCACCAAAAAAACCTGTTAAAACTGATAAATGAATTTAAAACACAGTTGTAAGATAGAAAATCACATACAAAAACATTAGCTGCATTTCTATACACTAAGAATAAAAATCTGAAAAGTTAATTAAGAAAACAATCTCATTTATAATGGTATCAAAAAGAATAAAATACTTAGAAGTAAACTTAACTGAGGCAAAAGATTTGTACACTGACAACTACAAAACATTCCTGAAAGAAATTAAAGAAGATACAAATAAATAAAAAGATATCCTGTTGTGGGGGAAGAAAAAAATCTTTTTCCTCTACCCATTTTGGTTCATTAGCTGGGGACCTGCAAATTAGAATGACAGGAGAGATTAACAAGAGAAAAACAAGTGTAAGTTTATTAACTCATGCATCTCACATATACATAGTAGTACTCTGTGATGAATAACTGAAAGGGCGGTTAGAACATCTTAACAAAAGGACAATAAATTTGTAAAGAACTGACAAAACAAAGGAAAAGAACTTTGAGTCTCTGGGCCAGTAAATTGTGGGAAGGTAAACATATGGGGAAGCTAATGAAAGATAAGAGATAGTAAAGTTTATTCTTCTGGTACTATCTCTGGGCTAAGAGTCTAGAGTTGTCTCTGGTGATTAACTTCTGTCCTTCCTGGTAGGGAAAGGAAGGCAAAAAGCTTTTAAAAAATTGTATCCTGTTTTACAAATGTATATCTTGCTTTTAGGCAAATAGAGGGTTAGGCAGAGAGCTTTTCTTATATCTGCTTCTCAATTGTCTTCAGATCAAAATAATCATTGGTGTCCATAGTCTGCTATGCTTCACTGTGTTTTTGGATTGGAAGACTTAATATTATTAAAATGTCCATGCTACCCAAAGAGAACTATAGAATCAATACAGTCTCCATGGAAACCCCAATGCTATTTTTGCATAAATAGAAAAAACAATCTTAAAATTTTTATGGAACCACAAATGACTCCAAAGCTCCAAAACAATCTTGAGAAGGAAAAAAATAAAAGCTGAAGGCTTCATACTATCTGATTTCAAAATACATTATAAAGCTACCATAATCAAAACAGAATGGTACTGACATAAAGATAAGCCATATAGATGAATGGAACAATAGAGAAATCAGAAACAGACCAATACATATAGAATCAAATAATCTTTGACATGGTGCCAAGGCTATACAATGAGGAAAGGATTGTCTCTTCAACAAATAGTGTTAGAAAAATTAGACATCTTCATGCAAAAGAATGAAACTGATTCCTATTTTACATTATACACGTTGTGAGGTCTAGAATAAATCACCCCAAGATGTTCTTCTGTGGTATGCAAATTGTTTTGAGCTAAAGGTAACTTTAGCCCCATGCTCAGGAGAAACTTCTGCCCCCATCCTTAACTGCCTAGAATAACTCAACTTAGAGACATTGCCCATAAGAGATTATCAGTGATAACCTTTCCACCCACCTACGTAGCAGGGTAAACTTTTATTTACTAAACATCTGTTCTTCTTATTATCCTGCAACGACCCTTTGCAGTCCCCAAGGTGCACTACCTCACCCCTAGCTCAGAATATCTTATACATCGCAAGCCCCCTTTCTATCTCTGAACCTCTCCTGCAAATGGGGTCTCTGACTCTCTCATGATGTGGGGTTCCCATAAATAAGTGTGTATTAAATTTGGTTATTTTATCTTGCTAATATCTCTCATGTTTATTTGATTATTAGACCACCCAGAAGAACCTTGAAGGTAGAGGAGTATGTTTCTCCCCAACACATGCAAATCAACTCATATAGGACCAATAACTTATAAGTAATTCCTGAAACTATTAAAAAAATCGTAGGAGAAAATGTAGGGGGAAAGATTCATAACATTGGTCTTGGCAATGATTTTTGGATGGGAAACCAAAAGCACAGGAAGCAAAAGCAAAAATAGAAAAGTTGGACTACATGAAACTTTAAGCTTCTACACAGTAAAAGAAACTGTCAACAGGGAGAAAAGGCAACCTACAGAATGGGAGGAAATATTTGTAAACCATATATCTGACAAGGGACTATTTTCCAAAATATGCAGCTGACCTTGAACAACTCTGTGGGAAATGCATGTGTCAACATAAGAAACATCCAAACCTATACAGAATTTTTATGAGTTTATTTGAGCCAAACTGATGACATGCCATGAAGTGAGATCTCAAATGCTCACAGAACGACAATTTGTAGTTTCTGTTATACATTTGGAATTAAGGAGGAATTTAAGGAAGATTACATGAACATGAAAGAAGGTGAAAAACAAACAAAGCCCAAAGTGAGTAATAGAAAGGAAATAATGAAGATCAAAGCAAAAATAAACAAAATAGAGTCTAAAAAAAAACAATAAAAAGATCAATGAAGTCAAGAGCTGGTTCTTTGAAAAAATAAACAAGATTGACAAACATTAACCAGACTCAAGAAAAAATGAAAGAGGACCCAAATAAATAAAATCAGAAATGAAAGAGGAAAAGTAACAACTTACAAAGGACTGTAAGAAAATATTACAAACATCTATATGACAACAAATTGGACAAATGGATAAATTCCTAGGAACATATAATCTTCCAAAGCTGATTCATGAAGTATCAGAGAATCTGAACAGACAGATTAAAACTAGTGAAATTGAAGCAGAAATAAATAAATAAATAAATAAATAAGTAAATAAATAAAGTCCTGAACCGAATCCTTCTCAAACTATTCCAAAAAATTCAAGAGGAGGGAAGACTTCCAAGCTCATTATATGGGGCTAGCATTATCTTAATCCTAAAACCAGATAAAGACATGACAAAGAAAGAAAATTATAGGCCAGTATCCCTGATGAACATAAACACTAAAATCCTCAACAAAATATTAGCAAACCATATCCAGCAATACATTAAAAAGATAATACATCATGATCAAGTGAGATTTATTCTGGGGATGCAGGTTGGTACAATATTCACAAATCAATTAATGTGATACACCACATAAACAAAATAAAGGATAAAAACCACATGATTAAATCAGTAGATGCAGAAAAAGCATTTGATAAAATCCAACACCCATTTATAATAAAAACTCTCAGCAAAGTGGGAATAGAGGGAACATGCTTCAATGTAATAAAGGCCACATATGACAAATCCATAGCCAATATTATACTCAATGAGCAAAAACTATAAGCGTTTCCCTTAAGATCAGGAACAAGACAGGGTTGTCCTCTTTCACCACTTATTCAACATAGTACTGAAAGTTCTAGCCACAGCACTAAGACAAGAAGAAGAAATAAAAGGCATCCAAATTGGAAAGGAAGTAGTAAAACTGTTATTAATTGCAGATTCCTTGATGCTGTATATAGAGAACCCTAAAGATTCCACCAAAAAAAACTACTAGAACTGATAAATGAATTCAGTAAAGGAGCAGGATGCAAAATAAATATCCAGAAATCAGTTGCATTTTTATACACCAATAATGAACTATCAGAAAGGGAAAGAGAGGAAAACTAAGAAAACAATTGCATTTACAATTGCTTCAAAAAAATATAATACCTAGGAATAAATTTAACCGAGGATGTAAAAGACCTGTACTAGGAAAATTATAAGGCACTGAAGAAAGAAACTGAAGAAAATGCAAATAAGTGGAAGCATATACTATGTTCATGGATAGGAAGAGTTAGGAAGAACTAGGATCATTAAAATGTCCATACTACCCAAAACAATCTATAGATTCAACACAATTCCTATCAAAATATCAATGGCGTATTTCACAGACCTAGAACAAATATTCCAGAAATTTATATGAAACCACAAAAGACTGGAATAGTCACAGCAATCTTGAGAAAGAAGAACAAGGTTTGAGAAATCATGCTACCTGATATCAAATTATACTACAAGGCCATAGTAATCAAAACAGCATGGTATTGGCATAAAAACAGACATATAAATCAATGGCATAGAATAGAGAGTCCAGAAATAAACCTATGCCTTTATGGTCAAATAATATTTGACAAAAGAAGCAAAAACATACAATGGGGTAAAGATAGACTATTCAGTAAGTGGTGTTGGGAAAATTGAACAGATACATGCAAAAAATTAAACTAGACAGCCTTCTTATGCAATACACAAGAATAAACTCCAAATAGGTTAGTCTTAAATGTAAGACCTGAAACAATAAAAATCCTAGAAGAAAACATAGGTAGTAAAATCTCGAATATTTCTTTTAGCAGTATTTTTTTTCTGATCTATTTCCTCGGGCAAGGGAAACAAAAGAAAAAATAAACAAATGGAACTACATCAAACTAAAAGGTTTTTGAACAGTAAAGGAAACCATCAACAAAATGAAAAGACAACCCACTGAATGTGAGAACATATTCACCTATACATCTGATAAGGGGTTAATATCCAAAATTTATAAAGAACTTTTAAAACTCAACACCAAAAAACAAACTAC